TAAAACTTTCCTCTATATAATAAGTATGTTGAATCAGCAAAATTTAAGTTCAAATGTGCACTTCCCTGAAGAATGCATCTGCTATATTAACAAAATTTTTATCATAATTCCTCTGCTATTCAAATAAAGTTTACTGCCAAGATATTTCATCTACTGAGAATTCCATGTGTAAGCATATGTTATTACAGATTCTGTACTCAAATAAAATGCTTCTTTAATTAGATACCTAGTATCTGATTAATTAGTATTCTTGCTCGACAGAAACTGAAAGAAGTTGCTAATCTTGATACTTTTTATACTCTAACCGATTACTTTCCATTAAAAAAGGAAAATATTTTTTTGCGATTTTTTTTAATGCAAATAAATATACCTGGGACTGTCAGTTCTAAAAAAAAATGCTTTAAAACTGAGGTAATCAGTCAAAGTGGAAGAAAATTTACTTGGTGCTGTCCACTCTTAACACCATGAAATGTACAGATAACGAACAGTAACCATCCTCAAAAGTCCTATAAAAACTATACACAGCAAACACTTACCCCGAAAACATCAGAGGTGGGATCAGGTGCCATGAGGAGTAAGCATCCTCTCTCGACAGGTCACAGCCGCCATGATCCCATTGTATTGATTGAGTTATCCGTAGACAGTATGGATATAATGGCCTAACAATTTGTATTAAATACAAATGTCAACATTAGACCTTAAGTCGGGTATTAATTGCAAATAAAATCATTGTATCGACCATGGAATTTGCAAAATTTTGACTTGAATGAGATTGTTGATACCCTTGTAAAATAAACTTATTTGTCAGTAGGCTTGCCTTGGTTTAGAAATTGTTCGCACACAGAACATGCTCTTAAGTATCGAGTCAACACCATTGCAGTTGATAAGGTATATTGCTACATAACTTAGGGGAGCTGACAAAAGAATAGTTGAAGTCATCACGTTTGTTGTAAAGTTTAGATTTAAGTTTGCCATTAATGTCTTTCTCTAGAAAAACATCAAAATATGAAACAGAGGTTGCAGACTCTGTGGTGTCCAGCTTTTTATCTTAATAATTCAAGACTTTAAGAAAAAGGCAAAGAAATTGTAATTTTAGTTATTACTTTTTAATGTAATTTACCTCATTCATGGTATGGAAATGATTTTTAACAGCGTAAAATTGTAAATGACCAATCACGAGATATGAAAATTTCCGAATCCTACTTTTATTGAAGAAGCAGTTGTCCATGATGTTGAAAAGCCGTGTCTTTCATTTTTCATGAAATATAGTTGAATATAGATTGTTGAAAAGTCTGCTTTTGATTTTTGGCAATATTGTGATTTCAAATTTTCTGAATGTTCATCGTCAACTTCCCTTATTTATGCAGTAACGTCACCTGTATATAGTGTTTATGTCTCCTGACTGATTCGATACGCAAGATCATGCTTTGAAAAGATCAATTTTTAAACCGAGGTAAACTACCGACAAATAAGTTGGTAAGTTACACGGATTTCAACATTCCCGTTAATAGTTAGTTTTTCGCAAATTCTACTGTCTTTAATATGACCTTGTTTGTACATACGACCCATGTTCAATTAAATTTTGACTGACATCTTTCAAACCTTCGTTAGGTAATTTGCTTTTGTATTAAATTTAACTATGGAATACTCAGTATGCCTGATCAATACATAGGGCTCATGGCCGGTGTGACCGGTCGACAGGGGATGCTTACTCCTCCTAGGCACCTGATCCCACCTTGTGTTTCCACGTGTTGTGTTTTTGTGCTGTTCACGATTCGTTTTGGTTCTGGATTTATAAGATTGTCTATTATGTTCACCTTTTACATAACGTACTACCAGATTTTTTTATTGGTAAACCAAGAGATGACAGATATCTTGCATGGGTGAATTAATTTTTAAAAACATGAATCCATCTTCGAGTAGAAAAAGCAAATATTTATGTTGTTGCTTAGAAATCACTTGAAATACGGTATCACAATCCAAATTCGGAAGTAGGCATTAAACTAATGGATGTTTTCTGCATTATATTGATTTTTGAGTTACCTTTCCTTGCTGTCTTTTTCTAAGCAACAATGTTCAATTGCCAATAAACACATGACAAATCAATTAGTCATTCATTCAGTGGCAAGGGAAGATTTATAATTAGTGGAAGACAATATTTTTTGATTTTCTGGTAGTTATTTCAAAACTATTTGCAAAGAAATAATGTAATCAATTATCAATTTCTGTGCATTGAGCATAAACCACGATTGATAGCCACCATTCTGAATGTAGGATCTTAACTAGTGTGAACATTTTCCTGACCCCCCCCCTTCCAAAAAATAATACTCAACAAAAAAATATTATTTATTTTAAATATTTTAGAATTATTACAATATATGTTGTATTTTATAATGATAAATAAATCATTTGAAGAGCGCCCTGTATAATAAAAATTACTCAAAGGCGCTTAACAATAAGATTATACTAAAATTATATAGAAGATGGTATAATTAAAGCTTTAAAAAAAGAAATGCAAGATGCATAAAAATGCAGAAACATACAATAAAAAGCAAAGTTTAATAAAAATAGTAAAATCAAATATTTACATTACAAAAAATTACTCAAGAATTGATAGCATTAAATATATATGTTAAGAAAAAAAGATACAAACGAGATAGCGTCATTAATTTAGTTTAAAAACTGATACATGCAAAAAGCAAACTGTTTATAATTAGAGCATATGTAAGAATGAAGATTTAAGTCTTCTGACCGTGACTGTTGGATCATTTTTAAAAGTTCAGGGTTTTTAAATGTCCAATTTAGACTGCGTACATATATCTTTGTGTGGGGTTAGAATCTCGAACGATTACCTATATACTCTCGTGACCAAATATCACGACTACAGACTATATATACTTAAATTCACTTGAATGGATAAAGTGGCTGAGGAGGTATAGCAGATCTATTCAGACACCCAAAGGAAACATGATAACCAATTCTTCTGTTTGTACACTCTCAGATTTTACCGATTTCATTGCATAGTTAGAAAACTTCGATTTTCATTATTATAACGATCTTTTAGCTAAATGCTTAAATATTAATACTATAAAAAGATTGTTTCTGTTTGGACTTTTATCGAGTTCGAAAAATCACACAGAAATCTGACTGGTAAAGATGAAAAGCGAATGAACAGCACAGCACTTCATTATATTTGATATCAGCCAACGTTTTTCATTTTTGCCAGTTACTTGAAAAAAGATCCTGGATTTTTCTGCAATCCCTTTTTTGTGATACCCTGTTCACCAGAAGCAGGTATTCACAGACATAAATGTAAGGTCAACTAGACTAATTTTACAGCGCAGCAACCAACCCGACATCTTCCAGTATAAGAAGATTCCGTAAAGGTGTGATCAAGGGCGAATTTTAAGCGCATTCCGTAAAAGTGTGGATGCTGGTCATTTTCTTGATCTGTTTTGCATGTATCATTATACGATGCAATGCGACAAGGACAAAGAAACAAATGCTATATACTTTCCTCTGTGTGGGAAAAATCAATCATAGATCCTTAATTGGGTATCTTAAATGTTTATGCAACACTTCTACAATTTGACGATTCTACGGTTAATTTGGTGATTTTAATGAAAATAAGCTAAAGATAACTTTGAGAAAATAAACTAAAATAAAGGTGTGAAAATACGAAAAGATTGTGAAAAATTTGAGTGAGTAAACCAAACTGGTAGTAACTCCATCATTTTCTTTTTATTTGTGTTTTACTCTACATATTGTAAATTGGCAGCAAAGGAAAAGACAGCAAAACAAGTCTTTGGCTTGAACAAAAATAATTAAAAGATAGATTTATTTATAAAATTGTTGTAAAAATCCACATATAGTGGTAAATCTAAATTAATGTTATGCTTTGGTATATAGAAATTTATGGGTTAACTCACGTACGTGAATCTGTAATGTTAAATTATAGTGAGTTAATACAACAATAGAATTAATAACTGGTGTTCAAACTAATAATTAAAGTTCGTTTTAAGTTGCAATAATATTATCAATCAGTTTTCACTCAAAAATATGAAATAATAAACAGGCTTCTTGATACAATCGAGACTTTGCATTATGCTACTATATGCATATCATTACTGCAAATTAGGAATTTTCGTGGGAAAGGGGGCGGGGGTAATTTTTGTTTTCGTAGGATGAAGAGACCCACGAATCCATGTCCTCCACGAATTCTACAAATTGCAATCAAGACAATACTCCACTTCTTCCCAATGAACTGATATTTTTTTTCAAATTACGAAAATTTTACCCCACGAAAATAAATGATTTTACACTATCATTTCTGCATTTCATGTCACTATAATTCATATAAGTTGTGCATGCTGCACTTAGTCGTATTATATGTGTGTATGAACACATCGGTTAAATAAATATAAATTTTAAACTGTTATTTAAAAAGAAACTTCAACTACGTTAATTAGCTACGTTAATTCCTCATTGAAACTAGAAGTGTGTTCTGTTTAGAAATATTATGACCAGTTGCCGAAGACCAATTGAATATGTGAGGAGACGACAAATCTGTAATGCATCTTATGAGACATAAGACATTTTTTATGTTTTGCCCATGATTTGAGAATTTCACGTACCTTTCTGGGATTTATTTTGAGAGTATATTTTAAAATCATATCAAGAAAAAATCTCGGTTTGAAGGCAGTGTAATAAACAGACTGTTGCATGCACGTTTTAAGTACAGCGGTACTGAACTAAACAATACAGGCCTCTAGTGAAATAAAATAAACAGAGAATGCCATGGCATTATTGGTTTAGAATCAACGTCTCGCTAAGATTGTTACATTGATGAAGCTGAAAACACAACTGACACACCGATTAATGGTAAGCATCCGGAAAACATTCTCTCTCATTAAAGAAATGATTTAAGCCTTTGATATCGATTTTATTCTACACATTTCGTCAAGGGTACACAAATATCGAACAAAAGCAGACATTTAAATTTTAAACCTCCATGACAGATCGGATTTCTGAATATGCGCACAAGAGTTGTTCACCCGGAACTCTGAAAAAAATCTCCGGGTCATCGGCAAGGTAAACCGAGTCTTCTTGTTCACTGGAAGAGGGACAAAAAACCATAACTAAGACTTCCTGAAGTAGCATGTTACTACTGGGAAACATGTCTGGCCCAGAGGGATAAATCGTCCGAAAAATTCTAAATGGTGAATCCAGGTAAGAATTATCTAGATCTGTTTCAGTGTGGACATGTAGCGTGTAAATCAACTTTTTATGGGGGGCTTTAAAATACTATAAACCTGAAAGTTAAAACGGGAAGTGTATTTGTTGTCATATTTGAATAAATGTATTTCTTACCTTTTGATATAATTCACAGAAAAAGGAAAAATGGAAGGCTTACTTTAGCCTCCCTAGTAATAGTTCATGTTATATATTTTACATTGTCATTTACAACATAAAAAGTTGTTTATGAGTATAAGCGTTCGTATATTTGAATTAAATAAATAAATGTATATATTTCTTATATCATTTTAAGACAGTTTAGATACTAGTACCTCAATGCAGATTATTTACATACATTGGCACTGTGATACTGACCAGCAATTTTACAAAATCTTAGAATCAAATCTGGTTTAAGAAGTGGGACACAAACTATAATGACATGTGCTAATTATATGCATCTGTGATCATGTTTTAAACACGAGGAAGAGATTTTAAAACTTTTTGAGATTTAAGTATGTGTGCTGAGTAAATAGAGCCCAATGATATTGATTACAACCTGATTTCAATAGTAAGACATATGTAGGTTTAAATCGTGACTACCAATAATTGTTCTATATCTTGGAAAAAAAGTGTCATTGCCATATGTAAGGAAAAGGTTTAAAATAATTTAGTGGAGAGTTTTCGTACCTAAATTGTATTGTTATACAGAGTTTCTTAAGATCTTAATTTTTTAAACTCGGGGAAGACAATTACATAACATTGTGCACTTTAATATATGTCTTAGTGCTAAGAAACCTTGCACTAAAATGTGACCATTAAATTTTTACCGTATTACAGTTACTGTAAAGCATAGTTGATCCAACTCTCCTTTGCGAGACTGTTGATTTTTCTCTCTCTGAAAAACAAATTGTCTATATATAACATTCGATAAAAATCATGCAGGTTTTGGAGTTTATTCAAAGATAAAAAAAAAAAAAAGATCTTATTGATAAATTGCGTCTTTTATGATATACTTGTATACAAATTACATTATTTTTTAACCGTATTTTTCAAAACGTTTTCATGTTTAAATCCCTTTCTCGTTTTTCTTAAACTTATCAGACATTGATATAGTTGATGGCAAGAAGTATGAAATTATGATATATCCCAAACCATTTAAAATTAAGTATATATCTAAAACATTCTTTTACCCTTTTTTTGTTTTTAATTATTCCTACATGTAAATGATGCGTACATGTGAGTTTGTAAGCGTATATGTTTTGATATTTAAGATGACCAATACGTTTTGTTTTATAGACGTGTTATGGCCGATGGATGCTCAACCAAAAAACGATACCTAACTCTTGTAACTTGGATATTAATGGCCTTTAACATAAAAATAGGTAAGGAACCATTTATTTACCTATATTTAAATTATTTACATGTATATCCCTTTGAACTCGAAACAAAAGATACCACAAAGTCTGACACATCTGTTTCAAATTTGGATATTTTACTAGAAAAGACTTTAATAGAAACTTAACAACAAAATTTTACAATGACTTCAACTTTTCTATCGTCAACGCCCCTTCTTTATGTAGCAATATACCATTATCACCTCCATATTGAGTTTATGTCTCCCAGCTGATACGATACTCAAGAGCAAGGTCTAGGTACGAACAATTTCTAAAACAAGGCAAACAATTGACAAATAACAGAAATATCAAAAGTTGTTTAAAGTGAACATTTCGCAAATTCTATAGTTGATACACTGACCTTGTCAGCAAATACAATCTATCATTAAGTCGAATGATGACTAACGTCTTTCATACAAATTTTTTGGCCATTATTTTCACAATGAATTGTCTACGGACTTTTCTCCTTGTCATGATTTGCCCGATCATGATAAGGGGCATATGGCGGATGTGACCGGTCGACAGGGGATGCTTAATCCTCCATGGCACCTGATCTCACCTCTGATGTTTTAAGAAGTTCGTGTTTGCTCTGCTCCAAATATGTGTTGTTTCAATTGACTTTCACTTTGCCTACTGTTCGTTATCTTCATATTTTATTAGCATCGTATACTAGTCTTCAAAGGAAATTGAAGTAATAGAATGTAACTTTATAAGTACCTGTTTTGTCATCATATTGTTTTCTAATTTTCTCAATTTATATATTACGAAACCGAAATGTAGACACACTCGTATTTCTCGAAGAAGAAACCAATCATCAGAAATATTTCATCTTAATATAGATTACACCGGATTGCAAGATTCGCTCACTTATGATGCATGTACTTAGAATCTAATGTAGACTCAAAGTGATTAAAACAGCTTCATCATAGTTCACCACGATTAACTGCAGTTCGGAGAAAAATACATAAAAATACATATAAAATCTGAGATTAGTTAATTCTGTAAACATTCAGATGAGAAATATTCCACGATAGTTTGACCGTGATTAAAACCGATGACCCAATCTTTGGATTTTTATTTGGTATTTTTTTTTCAGCTACTTGTCAACAACGATGTCCACCGACAAAAAGAATATTAAATGCTGAAAATTTTCCGAAGTTTGCCAGCACGTCTAACTATCCCTCAAATTATCCACCGTAAGTTATCTTATTCACCAATATATGGTTTTAATCCAGTGTTTCTTCTTTACAACTTTTACAATACTTAAACTTCAAAATATAAAATTCTTCGAAAGATTTTGAAGTAAGAAATTGTATTCATTTATAAAAGATTTCACATTCCTGTCTTAAAGTATTTTTTAACCTCTAAAATATTTGGGTTATTAACAATCATTCTTATCTGTTTTGTACAGAAATGAGCAGTGCAAATGGAGAATTCATGCCCCACCTGGGCTAAAAATAAGATTTAAAGTGGTGAATTCCTTTATAGAGTTCCCTAACTCCAAATGCAATGGAGATTACGTTGAGGTCTTAGAAGGTAAGGCAATACGTAAAATAATATTTTCTCTTATAGGACTCACGGACTAATGTAAACATTATTGAAGTATTGCTGGAATCATATTTCATCAAATTGCAAAATCTTTGTATGCCTCATTTTGTATGTGCAATGAGATGATGTCTACAAGTCGTAGAAAGAATGGCAAAACCATACCCGGAATGAATAATTTGAAGAAAACAAATTGAACTGAACAATATTGAGATGCTTGCAAGCACTTGACTCAATGCAGCCTTGCTGATCTTGAGAGAATTTTACAATTTTTTTAATACCCTATTGTTTCCCCAGTTTGACTACTTGGGATTAAACATAAAAATTAATGCGAATTTGCACTACATAGATGTTGTCCAGTACAGGCTCTTTAGGCCGTCAAGTGTGTCGGAAAATAATAATTCCGATTCAACCCGTTGGTTCCTTTAACTTAAATTTGCCAACAAAGTAATATATATGCAGTGGACATTTGTAACATTCTTTATCATAAAAAAAGTTCAGTTTTGCATTCCACTATATTTCAAGTTGAAGACAACTGCCTTCATTTCCTACAGATATTTCCAAACTATTGCTTCCGAGCTTTTCAATTATAAACAAACCTTACAGTGCCTAGATATTGAACATCTAAAACAAAATGTTCTTGTCCTTCCTCTTCTTTGAACTATAGTCCCAATGGATACCTCGTTTCTGCTGATGTAAATAAATTGTGAAAATGACGCTCTGAAAGCAATCATTTTAAAAGGTTCTAAATAACCTAATCGTTCAGTTGGCGACAGAACCTCATTTCTATTTTAAATTCTGTCGAGGATTACACTAGAAGATAGGCCAAATGTGAAGAGGAAGACCAAACACTCTGTCAGAGTAAATTAAGTGTTTTAGATATATTAAATAAAATTAAAAGGCAATTTGCAAACCATCTATACTTCCGTTTTCACTTAATCGGAAGTGATAAAATAATTGGAAAGAATATATGAACAATATATATCATGGTTCTAGCTGACAAGGCTTGTTACAATATCGTCTTTGTTTGTAAGGATCATTATTACAACTGTATTTTAGAAAAAAACTTGGTTTTAATTCTACATCTGTAAATCCAACTTATACTCAGTTCACTTTTTAGGGATGAATTTCGTCCACATCACATTTAGTTCTTTAATACTTTTAAAACTTACTCTACTTACATTCCAGTCAACGAAAGTGAGTTTGATTTACCCTACCTATACTGGATTCCTAATTTTCATAAAAATTACAAACAAAAATACATTACCAGGTCCAGCAAATGCTCTAACAAGCCTGCATCTTTACTCCTCACAAAAATATTAGCTGCTGTAAAGTAGAAACTTCAGACGTACTGTATATTCTAGAAAGTATTGTAAATCAAATGTGGTTTCACAAACAATAAATAAATAAAAATTTTAAAAATCTTAAAAAAAAAAAACATTATAGAGTATGACTTCTCTGCACTTTGTACAACTATTCCTCACAAAAAATTAAAAAAAAAACTACGCTTTTTGATATCACAGACGAGTGCGTCTGTAATAAAAGAGAGCCCGGAAGAAGTGTTTAACAAATATAGATTCTATAATACTCCATAAAACTTTCACAAAATTCAAAATCACAAAAATTTGCCAAAACTTTTCAACACTTTAAATTCAACCATTTTTCACAATAAATGAAAGACCCGACTTTCCGAAATCAACTGCTTCTTCAATAAAAGTAGAATTCGGAAATTTTCATATCTTGTAATTAGCATCTACAAAATTACTTCGTAAAAACCACTCTGATTCTACACACACGTACTCTGAGATCGACATTAAAAAGGATACTGGAGTTTTTCATCGACAACATTTATGAAGTCTTTGAACATCTATGAAGATTAAGTCTTCCAACAATCTTTTGGAATATCGATGGGAGCTAATTGTGCTCTATTATTAGCCGCCCTGTTTTATATTCCTATAAAGCAGAATTTATTCAAAAGCTTCTGTACGAGAAAAATCAAAAACTTGCTGAACGTGACCTTCAACTCGACATTCAGATTCTGTAAACGTGCTTTTTTCCACGGGGCCACAATTCCACGGAATCACAATTTCTGCTCAATTCAGGTGTAGAAAATATTACGCGAATTTCTTAGATTGCATTTATATGTCTTATGTGTACTTTAAGTAAGCTGGAACAAAGTGACTTCGTAGAAAGCGTAAATAAATACCATGCAGAAAAAGTGTACTTCTACAGTATATCGATTGCGTTTTATCAATTAACAATAGGTACTTCCATTCATAAGTTGAACTCAAAATAAAAGACACCACAGAGTCTGCCACATCTATTTCATAATTAGATGTTTTACCGACTAGAGACGATAAGGGCCAACTAGCCTCTAAGCTGTATGACAAATAATGCGACTTCAGCTTTTTCATCCTCAATGTTCTTTATTTATGTAATAATATTCCACTTTCACCTGCATATGGTGTATATGTCACCCAACTTATTCGATACTCAAAAGCATGCTTTGAGTACTATCATTCTTTTTAAAGCGTGGCAGGCTACTGACAAATAAGTTGATGTTACAGGGATTTCCACAACCTTACTTAAAGTCAGAATTTCGTAAATTTGTTGTTTTAATGATGTTCTTGGCAAATACAGCCTCTCATTGAGTCGTATTTTGACCGACATGTTTCCGGCCAATCGCTGGGCCTTCGTTTTTATATTACATTTGACTTCAGGTTATTCTGTCCACTGATCAAAACATAGGGCTCCTGGCGGGTGTGACCAGTCGACAGAGGATGCTTACTCCTCCTAGGTACCTGATATTACCTTCGGAATTTCCAGGGGTCTGTGTTTTATGCCCTGTTTACAAATTTGTATTGTTTTAGGTTCTTGAGATCGATCACTATTCAATTTCTTCGCCTTTTTCAGAAAGTGCTTTCAAAATAAGTTTTGTCTTTTCTGGTCTGTCTGTTTTCAAGAAAAAGGTTTTTATATGACCTCACAACAATATTTATTAACTATCCTTATGTGGAAGGTGGAATATTCCCCATTATTGACGAGAACAAATACTCTGAACTTAAGGATTTTAAGTGGTCTGTTTAATTGAAATTGACCCTATGACTTTTGAGAAGAAATGCATAAAGGTAACTGACAGAAACAAAATAAATAATGTCAGACGACAGAAAAACTTTGAGCAAAAATATATTTCAGATTTTTGCTCAAAAAAGATAGCATTCTCGTGCAGCGTAAAATTAGCTCCCGGTCCTAATGTTTCCAAAAACTTAAAAAACTTCCCCTATTCATGTAGTACAACGGTTGGTCAATGTTTTATATATAGGGATGTCTGGGAAATTATTTTCCCCACAAGCAATTGGCTCACAAGGAGTCAAAAATTTAAAACAAGCATCCTTATGTAATGTTCAAATCATGGCCCTCCAGGCTTGATAAGAATCAAGGATTTATATAAGTGTGCGTAGGAGAGATTACTTGTAAAGATTTTCCTAAGAAAGAGCAAAGGTTCATTTTCCGATTTTTCATAATCTTTCTCATAGAATTATGCAAAGGTGTGTAAAAGAATAAGAGTTCGTTATAGTAAGGGCACAAATTATCAAAGCTTCCTTAAGAACAATAATGCTACAATTTATAAACTCGGTGTAAAGCCTCAGTTAATTTAAATTTTTGAAACTATGGACTTTACAGCCACAGTAAGAGGTATCCTTTATGTACATTGTCCATTATCAGGGGGCAGAAATATGACCCATGTCAGCTCGAATATTCAGTGATATTTTATTTTATCAACAAAAAAAAATTGCAAAATTATTTTAAAAAAAATAATAATAATTGCAGGTAGTAAAAGCTTGAAGAAGTTCTGTGGTTCCCAGGAACCGGAAGTTATTAGTGCAAGGAATGTTTTAGACGTGCTCTTTGTGTCAGACAGCATGGTAGAGACAAAAGGAATGAATTTTTCCTACGTCGCAGGTAAGAAACTATTCAATAACTCAAAACTGAAAATAAACACTCCATAGATTTTAAGAAAAATTTAAAACGTGTTTTTAAGAAAATATTTTTGGTTTGTTTACAGGTCTTAACTTTTCAAGGCCCTATCAAACAACTTCAGAAGCTCCTTTGGGTAAAAAAACAAACAAAGTGGCTATCATTGCGGGCATTGGTGGCGCGGTGCTGTGCTCTGTGATATTTTTTATCGTCTTGTGTGTATGTCTGTCTACAAAACGCTGTGGCTGTCCATGTAGAAACACTGCCCAGACTGTAGAACCATTTGATAACCGTCAGAGAAGTCATCAACCAATAAGCAGAACGAATTCGGTTTTTACTCACCACCACATGGGGAGGAGTGTAGGTTCCCTCCCAACGGAGGATGACATTATATCCTTACGAGTCTTGTCTCCTCCACCCTACAGCTCGGGGCCTCCGCCCTCTATAGACAGTCCCACGAATTCTTCTTCCCCACCACCACCCTATTCTTTCAGTGACCCTAACCCTGATGCGGGTCGGACAGACAGTTTACCGAGCTATCCAGGGGAGGTTAGTCGGTACTGAAGCAATATCTACGATTCTGAAGCAAGGAATCAGTCTGTCATTGTGTTCAAGCAAAGGTTCCGTCCATATTGTTTATTTTGTGCCAAAAAAATATTTAAACTTTGACAAAAGTAATAAAATTCCGAAAAGGAATTCCAGTGTATTGAAGATATTCTTCGTATATGTTGATTTTAAACATAAGCCTGTCTGACAAAATATCGCCATAATTAATTTTTTTTATGAACGTATCATTTTGTGAATCAACGAATATTTTGTTTGGAAGGCCTAATGTTTTAAAAACGAGTGAATCCTTCCATGATTTGAGTGAGCTCTAGAAACTGAAGGATTATCAAAAAGTTTTGAATCTTTTCCCTTTTTACATTACGAAAAAGTCGATGAGGATGGTCAAATAACGGTACTTAACGGAGTTTTTTATGGATAAAAACGAAAAACATTGCTTCGTACTCTAAACGTCTGTGATGTGTTCAATTAATATATATTGAGCTGTCTATTAAGAAATTTTTCTCAACTCAAAAATTTGTACTTATAATTTCCTAAATTTGAATAACAATGTCAAGTATTTAAATGTTTTCGTAATTAAAATAATTCTGTTTGTACTTTGTACGATATATATATATATTTATTAAATAAATAATATGAAGAATATTACACAGATCCTAAAAAGCGCAAGAACAATTTATTGTATGATTTTTACATTGGGAGAATTTATCAAACATTGAAATGCTATTTAAAGTTTTTACATTAAGTTATTAAGCAAATGATTTACCATCTACGATTTAATGTTATTTGTTTTACCACAAAAGTTTTTGCCTAGGGCAAGTTTAAAATGCTTTTAGATATAATTTTTGTATTAAGAATATTTTATTTATATTTAGAGATAAAAACATGAATAAAAAAATTTATAATTGTAATGAATAGCACTTTAATTTCAGGAAACTGTGTGACAGTTATGCATTATCATCATATATAATCTTTACATTTATGATCAAAATATGAAATGTAATAAGTATTATCAATAAGTTGTCATTAACTGATAAACATCCGCAGTGCGGACATGTTGTTATGAATTTAATAAAGAGAGAACTTTGTTGAATATATTTCTATTAACATTCAAGCTCAGAAGTCCATTTAAAATAAACAGTTTGCCAGTGCATTTCCTCTGAAAGTGTAGATGAGTGCGTTTCTGAGGGAGGGGGGTACTCCATGTAATTCGGAGTTGGATACCTTGTGTTATTATTATACTATGGGTCAAAAATTTATTACAGAAACAAGTGCCTGTGGTTCATATGTAGAACATGCTTCTGCGTATCAAATCAAGTGAGAGACATTAACCCCATATGCAGGTGATATTGGTACATTGGTGCATAAGTAAGAAAAGTTGACGATTGAAAAATTTGAAGTCATTAGGTTTATCATAAAGCTTTGTTGCTAGGTTACCATTAAATTAATTTTCTATTAAAATATCCAAATATGAAACAGATGTGTCAGACTCTGTGGTATCTTTATTTCAAGCTCACTGGGATATATCGAGTCGACATATGAATGGAAGTAATTATTGATAATACGCCGTTTATATATAACTAAATGTCAATACAATAGATCTGCTAATAATAGGGCGAAATTCGTACCCATGGGAATTCCGACAGATTTTTGGAAGACCTGATCTCCAAAAACTACATATATATTGTCAATCAGAAACTCAAGGATCTTTTTGATATTAACTTCAGAGACTTGAGTGTACAATCAGAATGTTTTTCAATAAAATAATGTTACAAATGACCAATATGTCAAGGTACGTAAATTTACGAGTTCCATTTTTATTGACTTTAAAGAGCTGAAAGAGGTAGCAAAGACTGGAGCCAAATACGTCAAAGGATCAGAGCTATGCATGAGGGAGATAATCCTTAATTTTAAAATAAATTCCGAAATATTTAGCACAGCAATTAAATATATATCCGTATTTTCAAGCTAGTATCGAAGTACTTAGCTACTGGGCTGTAGAGACCATCGGGGACTAACAGTACACCAGCAGAGGCCTCGACCCAGGGGTCATAATGTAAATCATATACGGTACCAATTTTGATGCATCAGATGCGTATTTCGACAAATTATATCTCTACAATGTATAAAGTGTTGAAACGTCGTACGTTTTGATGTTATTGATTTTGGTAAAATTGTGTGATTTCAGATTTTCTTAAGTCCTTGGAATTTTTAAGTATCCACATCTGATTTACACTAATTCTTGAATATATTGTTGTATATTGTTTAATATCGACAATCTTGGTACCAGAAGCGTGGCATGATCTGTGTCAATTTTAGTTACATATTTCGAATATATCTGTTAAATTTGTAGGTGGGAATGTTGACTTGTTTGTTCGATTTATTTTTATTTGCTATAATTATAAATACAATTTCAAAAAGCCTTTCCTATTTAAATTGGCAATTTATAACATCCTTACCAACGCTTTTAAACTGCAATAATCTTTTAATAAATTTTAAAAATCCTCTCGGAAGAGGTAACAAGTTTTTTGCCACAATTTATGTGAAATTAGAATTTCGAAATCATTTGCAAAGAATTTTTTTAATCCGGCTTAACTTTTTGTTCTCTAATTTTATTCATTTAAAAAAAGATGGAGCCATCAGTCACTGTAATAACAATCCCTCGATTTGTAATCTTACAAAGCAACATTGTTCGTCCCTTTCGAGAATTTTTCACTCATATTGAGACGCCACCACTTGCCGATAGAGGGTTGCAAATTTTAGACCTGCATGTATACTCGGCACTCAGGGCCATTGAGTAGTGAAGTTTTGTGCCAGTACCTACTGCAACACAGGACCTCGGTTAAAACGGTCTCATCCGAAGGACCGGTCTCCACGTCCCACAGTGGGATTCGAACCCGCGACGTAAAGATCAGCTCCTTACTCCAGAGCAAACGCTCTAACCACTGTTTCACCTGAGCGACTAAAGCAATGTTGATATTTCGTTTAACAAAATTATTATTATTTTTTTGTTTGGTAAAATGAAAAGAGGTCCAAAACCTACACTAGATTTGACATCGAGACTGATCAGAACGACTACCAGATAAATTTATAGGATTAATCCAAGTTTTTTCTTGATGGTTCTTAAAATTATACCATAGAAGTACATGTAAAACAACAAATGTTCTTCTTCGGAAAACAATAAAGTAAAATTGGTCTCAGAACATCGAGTACCTGCAATGAGATTAAAAATGACAAAAACCAATCCACATCCCATATAATCTTTGCTATTACTTCCTATCAACTTTGGAACTCGATTTTGAGTGGATGGTTCCAAAGGTTCTATCAGTTTAGATGCTGTCACTTCAAAACACCGACTTTTGCTAAATTTGACTTAAGCATTAAAACACTAAACACTAATTAACACTAGAAGAAGACAATTGTATATGAACAAGAGAAGAAGTATTTTACACAAACATACATGAGCATGCCCTGCTTTAGTAATTTTTCGTGTACATGTGTTTCTTGATAAAGGTGTCTGCGTTTAGTTTAGCTTTCATGGTTATTTTCTATAACCTACAGCAATTTGTTTGTTTTTCACGTCAAATCGCACGAGTATAGATTTATATACAAATGAAGGTGTACTCAGATAAACTTCCAATGTTAGTGCCGTGCCATTCACTGCATCATAGAAGGACCAGTGTGTTTGTCTACGTGTTTATGGTGGTTTGTTAATAAACAAGTTTATATAAAGAAGCAGACATTTTTATAATCTTTTTTAGTTTGGGGAAGGACACAATGTGCTCAGAAGCTTGGAGCACATTGAATTTGGACTACAATGTAAAACTTAAAAAAAAACAAGCAAAAATATTTCTCCAGTAAAGCTAAAATAGTGCGAAAAAGAATCGATTGGATTTTTTATTTACAGTGGCAATGTTCGGTAGTATGGCACATGATATTTTATTTGAAATCTTACACTAAAGCTATCAATTGTAATTTAGAATACAAGACTATTGAAATTCTGAACTGATAGGCTGATAAACTAGTAACTTCCTCGGTTGCTTAAAAATTGCTTACTTTCCTTCCTCTTACAGTCAGTTGATCATGAATAATTGCTGCTTGGCAATTGGCATAGAGCATGCAAAAGAAAGCATCAAACATTAAACTATTAAGCTTTAGGTATTGGGTATAAACAAAAGGGCAATAAGCAACAGGACGAACTGATATGAAAATATCTTCAATTAAAATAAAATTCTTTCACTTGCAAACGTAAGAATGAAAATGACATACAACATATCTACTTGTTAAAATTATTTTTATTTAACACAGAAGGAACTTATATAAACAAATGCCAAGAGACTGTGTGGAACTCTGCGCTTTTTGTTATGAAAAAAATCCCCCACCTCATGAAAATTGATTTTGATGATACAAAGTTAATATCAAAATCTGTATAAATGTCACAACAGTTATGTTTCATGGATAAGGGGAGTTAATTGACATAAAGAATATATGACCTATCAGGCACTTCGGTCATCTACCATTTAACAAATTGATATTTCATTACAGTTTGACTGAGACCAGCAGTCACTTGTGAAGAACGATGATACAAAGCCTGGAAAACAATGGGGTATTACTGTAATGAGATATTATTCCTGCTTTTTTTCTTTGATTCTATTCACGGTAAGTCATATTACCTCTTGTACGTTTTCAATTTTTAAATAGCGTCAGAAAAGTGGCCCACAAATATCAAAGTTCTAAGGAACATTAATCAAATATTACTTTCTGAATGTAGAGAATTTTGATACATTTCTTAAGCAATCTTGTATATGTACCTAATCAAGGATTATATTACAATTAAAGATATTAGCCAATTCACTTCATTTTCATATTTTAACACCCCCTCCCCCTACTTAATATTACCAAATAAAACATCTCCATCGCTTTCCCTTAATCTTCCGACGTGTTGACATTTTCATTAAATTTGTGAATATACAACTGAGTATTCATTACAGAGAGTGTCCTGCATACAACACTGATTGCTAAGCAGACTTAGAACAGTTTACTTCCCACTCGAGCTATGGAACAGAGAACTATACGAAGTAATTGTTCTTTTTGCGAGCATGATATTTTTTATGCATCATTGAAGGTAGAAAGATTTTTTTAAAAACTAAAATGGATTTATGATAATTTTTCCTATGGAAGATGGATAAAAAAATGAAATTAAAGCAAATTTAGTGTACATGCAGGGCAAATTTGAGAAAAATCGGTGTTGATAAAGGAACACTATTGGGGAACAATAATCTGAAGTCTATACAAAAATGTGAAAAGGGGGGGGGGATTAATCCACTGTATACAGTCCAAAGATCGACGTTTGTAAATTCTTCGCACTATTAAAAGATTTATTTTGAGGTAATTAACCAATAAATAAAACAGAACACAGGTTTTTTGACAAATTTAAATAAAGGGTTCAAGGGTTATATGGTGCCTTTGAAGGCAGTCATCTACTATATATTCCTAAGCAATGTTTGAAACGCACCAAAAGTTTAAATCAATTTACTGGATGTAATCTG